GAGGATTTCCGCTCCATCCCCAGACACGTTAACAGACTTTTCCAGTAGCTGTACTGGCCGCGAATGCATCCCAAGTCCTCAGGGCAAAGTAATCATTAAAAAACACTTGCTTTTAAAACAAGTTTTATATTTTAAAAGGTAAACTTACCTGATGTCCCTTCCATTGGGTCATGGTCTTGTATACTGGGTTGGGAGGGTACTTCAGTCAGGCTGAGAAAAAGATCCTAGCTGTTGGGGAGAACGGAGTGCTGTGTGCTCTCCGCAAGCTCGTTGTCCTCTTCCCCGTCCGCAGAATCCTCAGGTGTAGCTGATGAGATTATCCCCGCCTCGGAATCCACGGTCAGAGGTGGGGTAGTGGTGGCGGCCCCCCCAGAACTGCATGCAGCTCAGCGTAGAAGTGGCATGTCCGCGGCTCTGACCCGGAGCGACCGTTTGCCTCCTTTGTTCTTTGATAGGCTTGTCTGAGCTCCTTGACTTTCATGCGGCACTGATCTGAGTCCCTATTGTGGCCTCTCTCCATCATGCCTTGGAGATTTTTTCAAAAGTTTTGGCATTTCGTCTTTTCGAATGAAGTTCTGCTAGCACTGAATCTTCTCCCCATATAGCGATCAGATCCAGTACCTCCCGTACGGTCCATGCTGGTGCTCTTTTTTGATTATCGGCCTGCATGGTTACCTGTGCTGATGAGCTATCTGTGGTCACCTGTGCTCTCCTGTGCTGGGCAAACAGGAAATGAAATTCAAATGTTCGCGGGCTTTTCCTGTCTACCTGGCCAGTGCATCCGAGTTCAGATGGCTGTCCAGAGCGGTCACAATGGCGCACTGTGGAATAGATCCCGGAGGCCAATACCATCGAATTGCAGCCACACTAACTCTAATTCAAAATGACAATATCGATTTTGGCGCTACTGCGCTCGTCGGGGTGGAGTACAGAAATCGAATTTAAGAGCCCTTTATTTCGAAATAAATGGCTTCGTTGTGTGGACGGGTGCAGGGTTAATTCGATTTAACGGTGCTAAATCCGAATTAAAGTCATAGTGTAGACCAGGCCTTAGTCCTAAGAGGAAAACATAGATTTTGAAAAGCCCAAATGGTCTCCACAATAGGCATGTTGTTATGGTTATATTGTATACCTCAGTAATACTTGATATTTCTATGGCACATCAAAAGACATTCTTGAAGGAAACTGATTGCCATTTCTTTCAACGTGCCCTCAGACCCCAAGAATCTCCTTATTTTCCATTTTACACCCCCTCAAGGGTCCCTTGCCATCTGACAGAGAAGGAGTTGGTGCTGTTCTCACTGCCACCTGTCAATGCTGCTGTCAGTTGGAGGTGTTACCAGAGAACAGTGTGAGGTACTGTCCCTTCACAGCCCAACAGAGAACTGACTCTGAATGTCAAACCAAGCACATGCTGAAGTTGTGCTACTGTTGCAGTGCCATGCCATTAATCAAAAATCCAGACTATAAATACCTTATTTAAGTACCATGTGGGACTGTAGACGACACTGCTACCAAATACACACTGGTCACTGTTTTTCTATTTTTCGCTTGTTCTGTAGTTTGTTTAATTGAAAGCAATGGATTTACAAGTATAAAAATACTGAGATAAAACCAGAGTCTTTGAAAATATGGAGTTAGCCAGCCTTGTGTTTTGGAAAAATGTCCCCTTCTTAGATTTGTGAACACAACTATGCTCTAAATCAGAAAGATCTACTATTGTTTTTAATTGATTTGTCACTGCATTCCCTTATGTTCTCACATCCTTCGACCTGAGTCAGACATAGTTAGATCAGTATGTAATGGCAAGTCTGACACTGGTATTGCATCTCATGCAGATTCCCTGATATTTTTTCATTACTGCTGCTATTATGTATTCCAATAATAAAATCTTCACTGTTGTAATGCACTTTTGTAATTCATTTGCTTCTTTATGCTGTGACTTTCCAGTTTGGTTGATAAATACAATACTAACCAGATCACCTCAGTTTATATCATGGGATCTTCTATCAAAAAAGGAAGTTTTCTTTTTTAAAAGACTAATTGTCTGCCCACACCACACTTACTTGTGGGAAAGCCTGTAATTTTTCAGTCCTATCTGACAAGCTAAGACTGAAAAGAAATTAAATCCTTTTACCAAAAATCTATTTATTTAAAATAATCATTTTCTTTTTTTCCTCAGCCTGTGTATTCATTTTTCATATTAAAGATGTCGTATGTGGTTACTTCATTTATTTAGGAAAAAACATTTGTAATATTGTTTCTATTGAGTGTTGTGGTATCCTTGATAAATATTATAATTCATTCATCCTTAGTACAGTAGAGTTAATTGCAATTTCTGCCTGACTGATATTTGGGATTCCCAACCAAGAATACAAAAATGCAGTTTCATTATAATAGATAAAATAATTTTTAAACTCACCATTTGCATATTTAAACCAAGTAGTATGAAATGGTAACTGTGAACACACAGCTGTCTAAGAAAAGGTCATAACACCCTAGCATCTTAAATGTGTGGCAATCATCACATGACTTAATCAGTCCCACTTCCTTGTACAATGTAATATAAGCCTTACAAGCAGAAGAGCTCTAAGGCAAGCTGGCAATTCAAGCCACTGGGCCTATGGTACCATACTTGGGATAGAAAGTTAAACTTCAAGTTAAAATATACATGATGCAAGGCCCTGGATATATGGAGGTATTTAGTTTTCAGCCTTGCAAAGAGAGCCAGAGATGTCCTGCCAAACTGGTAGAGACGCCGTATCTGCAGGGAAATTGGGGGTCCATCCTGTGAGTCTTAGAACACCACACTTCTCTGCCCCCTCTCCCTCATGCAGCAGAGGTCAGTTAGGTACCATGCTGTTGTTGAATTCTACCTTCCGTACGAACATAGCTAGAAAATAGAAACTCAGAAGTGACTGTCAAAGTCATTGCTGCCGTAAGCAGCAGTAAATCCAGCAGATATGTCATCTTGGCGCTATGTGGAGCAAACTGTAAAGAGTGGCTGCTCTTCAGATGAGTTCCCCAAAAATCTGGTTTCCCCAAATGCAAAAAGTGTGGCGTGGGTATTTTAAATCGGCTTCTCACTTCTTTGGGCTCGTATACAAATTATGTTGTGTTTCAACATCTTGACTTGGGCTGAACTTACTTTCTGCCTTTAATTGGAGCAGTTCTAATGGTGCTGACTGCTCCTGTGAAATTTCCACACCTTGGATTGAAACCACGCTCATTTAAATCAATCAGATTCTGATCCAGTTTCCCCCTCCATCTCCGCGAACTGAGCTGTACTTTGAGCTAAAATCAGAAACAAAACAAAAGTTGGTTATTTGAAAACATGCTTTTCAAAGATAGTCTGGTTCCTTTCTAAGCCCTAATTTCCACAAAAATGTATCCATGTGTTTAACTTTATAACAGAAAAAAAAATCTAAAACTTAAAAGTTGAGTTCAACAGTACCTGATGCAAGATCAGGGTTTAAGGCATTGCCCCATGAGAGGATAAGCAATGAAGGCTTTGTCCACTCTAGTAAAATTACATATTGCTGACAACTCATGTCAACAAGGGATGCAACTAAACCAGTGCTAAACAGAGTGACAGGCCAATACAAACTGAAAATAAAATGAAAGTGCTCAATGGCTTTTAAACACTCGAGGGTCATAAAGTCAATAGTGTTTCAGAATCCATAAAATTAAAATAGAAAACATGTCAGAATATCTTGATATCTTTGCTCTCGAGTTTTACCCTCCTGCCAATAATTACTTCCCTTGGTGGTATATTTATTTTTATCTAAGAAAGGACTGCAGGGATTGAATTATGTTATAATAATTCATGCCTAGTTGCATAGACAGAACTCAGCCTGCAGCCTCCTACTCTAACATACAAGATGTGAATTATTGCACCCAAAATTCACATCCTGTCATGTCTTATTGCTTAATTTGAGATTCTTGATTTAAAATATAACCTATCAGAGCATGTCAAAGCAGTGCAAGAATTTGACACTCAAATTCCTGTTTTAAAAAAAAAATTGTTAAAACAGCTACTTCTCACCGCTTTGAAAACTTACCTCATGTTGTCACCGGCCAGGCCACTCCTCTAGGTTGAAATTATTTCTGTTATCCTGGTGAAGGGCTGAAGTGGTTTTAATGTTTATCTTGTTCCTGTTATGGCAACAAGAAAGAAATGCTTTAATAAGGGGCTTTTTAGAAAACACAGGATCCACACTGGATTCAAGTTAATATGCTGTAGAAGATGAAAAGATTGTAAGAGATTTTGCTAAAATGCAGTAAGTAATATATCTGGAGATCGTATGTTGTTAATGAATCTAAAGCTAGCTAAGAAAAATGTGTATCCTTTTCCTGCTTTCACTTAATAGAAAACGTCTCTTTGTTTTCAGTTGTTTATAATTATCTGTTATCAGTGGAGCCAATTTCTGCCCTGGCTTGCAATTAATGTAACTCAGGTTTAAATCAGAGGAAAATTTGATCTACAGTATGTGTTTGGTAGCTAGTTCTGAAATTGTTAGTGGAATAAGTTTATTCTTCTTGTTGAATGCCCACAGATTATTTGGAAATGCAAGATCTGTCACTTAGGAACAGATAATTGTATTGTTTTCTTATAATTTTAAAACATTATTATTACTGCAGGCAAAACATGTTATTGTGATGAAAGTCTTAAGAAGTAGATTCACTACAGCTTCTTTTTTAAATTAAATTCTAGCTGGACAACTTAGCCAGTCAGCTCATTTCGCTCTCCAGTTGCCTTACAATGTGCTAGGTTTGGGACGCAGTGCTAATTTCCTTGATCACTTATATGTTGGCATTCCTCGTCCTTTAGGAGAAAAGGTAAGTTGAGATTTACCATGGGTAAACTATTTTTTCTGGTATTTTCCTCGCCCAATGAAGCTTTGGGGGGGTGTTGTTCTTAGGACTGCTCTGTTTCGGAAGTCAGAATTACAGAGAAACATTTTTCATGGGTATTGAAAACAGTTTGCTGAAGACTACTTTGTGTTAATTTTCTCCAGCATATAGTATCACTCATTAGCCTCTGAAGTAAACAATAAAACAAAAATATCACTCATGAGAAAAACACAGAAGTATGCATTTGTGTGCTATTTGCATAGAAATACAGAGCTGGTTTATATTAATAACATTTCAGTTTGCTCTAAGAATCCAATTATTATGCCAGCAACCACACTCATTTATACTGTAATCCCATCAGATCTGCCCAGGTGGATGAGGCCCACATGATTCAGTACTTGGCTGGGAAACACCAGAGAATTCCGGGGTAGGGCAGGAAAACAATGTCTATCACCTTTGAATCACCTGCTTCCCTCTGAGTTGGTATTGTACTCGTACCAGCATGGTGCCAGGGGAATGGTTCTGCTGGAGGAACCTTCCTTCAGAGGAAATGTAAAACCATGATCCTGACAATTTGTGGTGATGAAAGGTCTCACAATGCTATTTTTAAAAATAGATTGTTTACTCCAGTATCCTGACTACATTGGGATAATTAAATTCTGCCTATATAAAATTTCCCTACTGAAACAGTTGGATATAGTATTCTTCACTTCCTGCTCTAAACTGCAGTGCTAATGTGCACTTTTTAAACACTGCCATGTTTCACCTCAGAGATGGTGGTATTTCAGTGGTGGATGAAGTGATCCTTATACATCGTTTTTATTCAGTTTGTAAATTGCTTTGGGATCTTTCAGTATAAAAAAATCTTTATTAATGTTAGAGAATTATCACTATTCTTTCCTGTCTCCTGGAAAATTAATGCTTTGAGCTTTTTTTTTTCTTGTGTAACATTAATCAGAAAAGTTCAGTATATTTAGAATTTGTATTAATTTGTAAGAAGTGGACATACCTTCATTTCTTTTTTCAGTCTGTAAGAAAACAGGAATGGACAGCTATCATCCCGAACTCCCAACTTATAGTCATTCCATATCCACACAACGTTCCTCGAAGGTAATATCATTGTTGAAGTAGATTTTGCAAATGATACTATGGATGCAGAACTGTAATTGTGTGTCATGGAATATGAATGAATGATGGTGGAATGATTATAGAATAATTAATTAATAAAAATGCTAACAGAAAAGGACTTTTCTTTTCATGTGTAGCTAGTTACATTTGATTATCTGAAGAACAGATTAGCATATTCAGAACTTGGTGTGTCCGTTCAGGGCAATTCCAACTGTGTTCCCCCCCTATTGTCCATCAAGGGCAGCCACTCTAGTTTCCAGACACTCCAGCTGTCATCTCTCTTCGGTGGAGACATGTTTCTTTCTCCCTTCTGACCATCCTATTTCCAGGCTGCACCATTCCCTGCCTTCACTGTGTCATTCCCAGCAGAGACAGGCTGCCCAGGTATGCCTGTCTGCTTTCTCTGCAGAGACTGATAGGTGTAATTGTTATAGTTATAAAGCACCATATAACACTTCCTATGCAAGCCTACTTTATTCTTAAGGTAAAAAGCATTCCACACTGAAAACAATACCAGAGTTCACCGCAATCCTAACATGGATTCTGGCAGGAACAGTCCTTCAAACCCCATGTAAGGGGGATTCCTTGTGGTTACAAGTTAATCACAGCTTCATCTCAGAACAAGCACTCAGTCTTATGAGGCCTCAGGAGGCCCTGTCCTTTCAACACTCCCCAAAGGATTGGAGCCCTCCATGGACCAGGGATCCAGTCCATTTGCTGTATCAGGTAGAAGACCCTGAGCCAATTTAAAACCAGGCTATTTGTCCAAAAACCCTTGCTTTGTCTGGTCCCTGGAGATTCCAGTTTGAACTAGTATGTGCAAATCTCTCCAGGTGAGTGGCTTCAAAGAGTTGATAATGGAGGAAGAACATTAGCATCCCCCCTTCCCTACTAGAGAAGATGCATACAATGCCCCAATAACACACAATTGCATTTTTTATTCAGTGTACCCCAAAGTATTGACCCTAGTTCAGTCAGGTTTAACTTAATTAAATAAACTTTATCTTAATTCCGTAAAGTTGGTTCAGGCTATTACAGGATATTGTCAGTGTGTCAAACTTGGTATATTATAGATGTGTTCATTTGTGACCATTGCTAAATTGTGGGGGAGGAAGCGGATGGAGAGAGAATATGTATACATGTTTATGTGGAATATGTGTACAT